GGGGGGGGGGAGGGGGTTACAGCAGAATCTTTCAGCATCAAAAAAACCTGCCGTGCTGCAAATTATCAGTCGTGGCAAACACGCACGTGTGCTGCGTGTGGTTTGCAGCATCACAAACTGCACATTTGCACTCGTGAGGATGAGCCCTTAATGTCTTGCACTAAAGTCATGCATTCAAATGGGAGCTTTATATCCCACCAAATGGGCCCTTTGATGGAAAGTGAAACAGAAACATTAGCAGAAGGAACTATAAACCCCACAGTTATGAGAATAACAAGACAATGACTACTGCTTTCCTAAAAGCTGACAATTTCCATTTAATTTATACCTACTTAATAAGGAGCATAGCTCTACCCACTAAACAGGTGAAGTCTACTGAGTGAGCCACTCTTTTGCTGGCTACACTGCTCCCACAATCCTACAAATCCCATTGTCTCCTGACAGTGGGACAGACTAGCAGTTCATCATTTGCTGAGAAGCAGGATCAAAAATAAGATACTTAATAGTTTGTGACTGTGTTTTAAATTAACTCATACTACCCTTAGATTCAGCAAGGTGTTGGGGTAGGTAGAATGCACATTAAGGTCGCTTAACCAGGAATTAAAACTACTGAACTTCTCTAAATATTTATATTGGCGCAGAAGTTTGTTCCTAAACAACAAGCTTAGCTCCCCTTTCTGCCACTGCCTTTCACCAACAACCCCCCTATTGTTCTTTGCAAGGAGATTCAGGAGTGTCTAGAGACCAAACAAACTGAGCGTTACCATTTCAGAGAATTTATTTTATATGGATTAAGAAAAAAGTTTCCAAATATGCACTGTCAAACATGAGCTTTCAGCTTCCCTCCCCGCCCCAGCTCAGCTGGATTTAACTGGTTTGGTTTTAAAATGTTTCAGTGAATTAATGAGTTGTGTTGTTAATGCAAAACATTCATTCCAACCAATGCCAAGCTCCCCAATTAGAAGATTAATTTGAGACCTTGTGCAAACCTTGCCCAGAGACCAGAAAACAAACCAAAAAAAAAGAACCTAACAGGCACCAGAACCATGTGGATCGTACAGGGTAGCTACTGCCCTGCCACTACAGTTCAGGAGATGGTAAGAAAACTATGCGATCTGTGCTAAAAGCATTATGGCCGTGACAACTTTTAAACTTGCTGACAAAGATTTTAGGGATATAGGAACCCCTTTTTGCAGCGCTGTAATTTTAGACACAAATTCACTTTGGTACTTGACATGTCTTTGCCTAGAAAATGTTCAATTAAGAAACAAAAACGGCTCTTTTGCTAATGCTTCATGTTCCTGCTAAGCAAACACCCCTCAAGTCAGAAAAAAAAATTAATAT